CTCCTTATTCACGGCTGATTCACACACAGCACCAAGCATGGAAGGAAATTCTATCACAGCTGTGCCTCTTACAATTAGCAGACTCTAGAAATAGGTTCCAGGTATGCAGAAGCCATTTCTCTGCTGTGCCATTAAAAAAAAAAAAAAATCAGATCAACACATCATGTGACTTGGTTATTTCAACTTTTCAGGTCACTGAATAAAAGAACACTCAAAACTGAGGTTCTCCGGGTGCCCCAGAGCCTGTCTGGCTCTCAAGAACAAATATTTTGTTAAAGGAAAAGCAGTGCATTCCCAAAAGACAAAATAAAAAATGTCTTCACAGGGATTGAGAATAGCACAATATTAGGTAAGTGATTCAATGCTGACATTTTATGTACTCATTATAAAAAAGCCTATCAGCTACACACTGTTAGTACTGCCAGAGCAGTAAAACCTGACAGAAAAGTCTCTGAAGAGATTAAAGGATTGACCATTGACATTATTTTCCTACCATAAAACAATTTAATTACAATATTCATTAAATTGCTGACTTTGTATGACTAGCTTCTTTCTGCCATAAAAGCAAATGGGCAGAGCCCAAGGACAGAGTATTGCTTTGTGTCTGCTTTTGTTTGTAACCATTCTTAGGTGAGGGAATGTCTCTTTTAAGGTCCTGCCAGGGCCTAGCATGAGGAAGTGGGTTTACAGGAGTTACTGCCAGACAATATCAATATAGACACTCTTAGGCTGTTGTGCCAAAGCAAGCTGTCATTGGAAGTCAAATAGAATTGTTTCAGTACGACAGAACACACATCCTAGCAATCTAGACTTCTGTTATATGTATGGATCAAGCTGCCAGCCTAGAACATAAAGGAAAAGTTGCCTTAATTGCCTTAAAAATACCCTTAATTCTGGATGAATCTCATTTAAAAAAAAAAACAAAAAACATTCCAATAACAAGTGTGTCCTTGCAACAGTCTCAGGAGAAAAATTAAGAGAGGCTGCCCTTCTCTTATCCAGCAGGATGAGAAATTAAGAGTCAGATGTATCTTTTTAATCACATTTATTGTAAGAATGGCACCAAAGGATACCTAAGCAAAGAAAATTGGCTATGCATAGGAGGGGAGGTAAGCTTTAAGACTTTTACTAGGAAGAAAGTATTGACCAGAAAAAAAACATAAGAACAATTTTCTGTTTCAGTTTCATTGGCAGAGCTGGCTTACAATCAAGTTGTGTTGGACAACGTCAAACACAGCAGGGAAACAGATTTCAGTGCTATCATGTGGGGATGCTAGAAGACTAAATTCTTTTTAAGGAGTATGTAAAAGGTAACTAAAAAAGCAAGCCTTTTTCTGGCACGTTTATGTTTGCTACACTGTGTTATACCAAGATTAAGGGTATGAAGATTGAAAATGTGAAAAACTGCTGATTCTCTTCTCTCCTATTCTACCAGGAATTAGGTAGCGTGACTTGGAGAGGAGACGGGGATGGGCTTGTTAATTCCAACTATGTTAATACTAATGTTGAAATACAATCACTATATGCCTGTTAGGAAATGTTATATCCATCATGTAGACTGACTATATTTTTGTTCACTGTGGTGCCTTGTATAAATCATGTATCCAACAAACTTCAGTACTGCTACATAAGAATAGGAAAGGGTTTTATAACTTGTGGACTGTGTAGGTCTCATGGAGCTGGGCAAAGAGTTGGTGTCAAAATGGCTGTATTTACTGGCACTGGTAACGACCAACCCGGGAACTGTCCAGTCCATGAAAGCTACCTTAGGTTCCCCCATAACCATGCATATTCCTGTGTCATGTGACCTAGAGACAAATGTGTGCTTTTGGTTGGAAAATAAAACTAGCAGTTCTTTGAAAACAGTTTGCCTCATGGTATCCTTTCATGGGTGGTGAAGTAGCAGGATAACTTGGAATAAGAAAAAGAGGTGGGTTTGCTGTCCTAGAAAAGGGTTAAAATACAGGCATGCACTCATCATTTTGGGATTAGAAGACATAATGAGAAAGACCATTACAGAAGTGAGAAGGGGAAGGTAGCAATCTTTTATTTGAGCACATCTGTTTCTTGGAAGAAACACATATGGCACTTTTTTATAGGTGGCACAACTGTGAGGAAAAGCAATGTCTAACTCTGTTAGCCTTCCACAGTGGTGGTGTCTCCTACTTCTCTGTTTTCTCTCAGTGCTCTTCTTCAGCCAAGTATCTACCATCACCTTCCAAGAATTCTTCTCTACTCACCAACCCCATGACATAACATAGTTTGGCCGTTGCAGGGTTCTCACTCAAAACTTCTTATGTCCTTCTGGAAATCACTCATTCAGGAAGAGAATTGCACACACACAGAATTCAGCATCAGCACTGAACTCCTTCTGTTAGGACTTGCATTCTTGCCCCCGTTGCTTCTTTCAATCCCAACATTTGTCTGCAGGCCTCATGCCCTCTCCCTTTCCAAACCATTGCTGCCACTCAGTTGTCTTTCCACAACTTAAATGTCTTCTTGTCTTTGACAAATGCACATTTTTTGCAAAATGAGTGGTTTTAGCTTGGTTCTAAACAGTAGCGAAGTTTCTAATTTCTAAATGTCAAAGCTGGGCTAAACGTTGAGGCCAGTGGGTTAGAATCCTACCTCTGAGGCACCACAGCTTTTCTGGGGCTTCTTGCTTGACTGCTAAGTTTCCATGCTCCTAGTATTTTGATTGCGTCAAGGATTGTGTCCCACTTTGAACGACCCAGTGCCTCACTCCCTACAAAAACTGAGCACAATCCATGACAGACGCATTTCTTTCCCTCAATCATTTGGAAAGCCCAATCCAATGCATGGCACAGCTGAGACGGGCTGCCAGGAGGGATTTTGGCCTCTGAATGCAGATGTGGCTACTTTCTTTTCAAAGGTACTCACTGACTGTTCTGTAAGTCAGTTGGTTACAGAGACCTGAAAGAACCGAGACATCTTTCAGGAGAAACCTCTGAGATCTAAGATGGGGGCCCCAGCAGTGGTGAGCAGTGGCAGTTGCCCTTGCCCCTGCTGAAGCTGGGTCACTGCAAAAGTGAGTACAAACCCCATAGCCCAGTAAGAGAGCAAGACACAGCCCAGGAAACTGTGTTTACTGGGAAACTTCCACGGGCAAAGATGGGAAGGAGGAGCTGTGTTACCTGCTATATTCACAGATGGATTAACATACAGAGGCAGCTCTGGGGTACAGATGCAATACTCATCTGTGTGCAGGACCTCTGAACACCTTCCCAAACAAACCTAAATACACAAGGACACCCTAATACCTAGGAAGAAAACTTCTCCTGTTCCTAGTGTACACTCTGAAACCCACTACTCCTCTGCTCACATCCCATTTCCAGAGTCTGAGCTCTCCTTCCCCTTGTTCCTTCCCCAAACTTACAACTGGTAAATTCCCATCCTCCTCTGTCTGAGACAGCAGATGCAGTCACGATGCAGACTGTAAGTATGCTTAGCTCAGCAACAGCACGAGCAAGTCAGAACTTTATGAGTTATTACACCTTTTGATGAGGTTTTTATGGTTTGTCTTTCCTCACAGACCAATCACTCCCATTCTAGGCATCTGTATTTGGTTCTTTCCACTGGGCATATTGGTATGAGTGTGTTTAAGCTGAGCTAAATGGGACTTGAAAGGCAAGGAATTCCAACATTGTCCTCCTAAAGTCTGACATGTATTTCTCAGGAACTAGAAATGCTATTGTGTACAGAAATCCTTTTGGAAGAGGATATTTACTGATATTAACTAAAGTCACGCTGTTTCAGTTGTCACTACCTGTCACTTGATACAGTACACAGGTGGGTCCAGCATGCAAAAAGAAACTCCCAAGTTAAGCGGAAGCAAGACAGAAGTAGTAATAAAATAGTGGCAGCTTTCATTTGGACCTCTCAATAAGTCAAGCTTGTTTTCATCTTTGTGGGACTTTTTTTGCTGTATCATGTTTCCTAAATTAAAGGACAGAAAAGTAAGCCATCTTTCTAGTCACTCAGCACTGTTCTTAGAATGGCTAAGGGTTAGTAAAGCACATAACAGGATGGGTGACAAGTCTTGTTTAGGACCGTATTGCCACCTGAAATGCTTTGGTACTGAATTTATGCCTATTACTCTATTTCATCCCATTCCTAGGTTTCACCAAAGACTCATCTAACCTGGAAAGGGAGCATTAACACTGTGACCTCATATTAAAAGCAGATGTACAGCCAGGTGGAGTTCTAGGTACATGTGGCGACAGCCAGGATGTTCTAGGAGCTGAACTCTCAAAGCCTGGCTTCTCCCAGCAGTTCTTCTCAGTACTGAGTAGTTGTTGGTGTTACTGCACTAAGACCAAATTCTGCTGGATTTGAAGGAATGGCAGTGATAACATCCAGTATCAGTCTAAAAACCAGTCAGAATGACCATTGCCTGGAATCCAGCTGAGAAGTCTCTCCATAACACTGGGCATACACGCCCTGACTGCAAAGCACAACTCTTCCTTGCTTAAGGAACCATTGGAGACGCCTCTAGAGCTCTCTTTTCAAAGTTGTGCCAAGCAGTATTTTAGAAAGGATGCACCCAGTTAAAAAATTCCTGCTCTCCTGAGGCCTCTCTGGAGGTCATGGCACAAGGGGGAATCAAGATGCTAAGGCCTAGACACGGCAGCAGGGGACGCGTGGAATGACTATAGCATATGACCTGAGATGGTCTTGGTAAAACTTGACCAACACACCCACAAGACTCTTCAGATGAAAGGAAACCTTGAACTGCTCCTTAACCTGTTGTTAGGATGTAATGCATGCAGGTTAGCCCCATCCTTCTCAATACAAGCTCTCTCTGTCTTAATCTCATACACCCCCAAACTGGTTGCCCTTCATTGGCACTTACCTGACTTCCAAGGAAGCAAAGACATGCCAAGCTTTCAGTTATACTAAGATAAATATCAAACTGAGCACCTGTTGGACACTTAAATTTGCCACATTTTTCCGGATTTTGACTCAAGGTGTTTGCTTACCTGAGAGCAACTAATTCCAGTAACCAGTGAATTCGAACTTGTTCAATGCCTCCATGAGGAACAGAAGAAACATAGGCAAGGTTCATCTCTTGGTCTTTGCTCAGGTCAAATAGGTCAGCACGGCTGTGAGGTAAAGGAGGGCTTCAAAAAAAGAGGGACAGAAAAACAATACATTACAACATTAACTAGCAGCTCCACTGGGTAGCCAAAGAACCCTGTGCTAAGTCCCTATACCACCTGCAAGATCCTCCCTGGTGTGAGCAGCACTGTCTAACATGAGATGAAAGCAAAATGGAGGTGCAGGTTACCTGGGGCTAACCAGCTACACATGTAGTTCGGCAAAGGGAAGCACGGCTCGTGTGTATCTCATTGCCAAGCTCAAAGGAAAGTGTTACAAGCAGTCATTGCTGCACAGATAGCAACTTCAGGCAGCCATGGCCTGAAGAAGCCACACGATGGCAGTCATCTTACCTCTCAGTAACTAATCATAAGGGAGCTCAGTATCTTTTAGGCTTTGGACTGGAAGTCAGACTTGCTGAGGTCTATGGTAAGACAAATATGGGCTTGATCTTCCTGCT